TTAACGCTTTTGTTTTCTAATCACTTTCAGTGATTGGGCTACCACTCAGTATACGTCCTGACAAGCTGTTATTTATCATTCTCATGGGAAATACTTACATTTGAATCTACGGATTTGAGTCAGCACCGCCCCTTCTGCCATTATTAAATATTAGAGCCCGGCCACTTTACAACAAACAGTCTGGCAAGGTAACTGTAAACTGATGCTGTGCGCTTTTGATTGTATGAAAATGAACAATATACTCGAGTGGTTGAAAGAAATATTAATCTTCGGATTTTCACTTTTCAGGGCTTTATGGGGCCGATATTTACAGATGTAGATGTTTTTTTTTGGTATATATTTTTACTTGATTTTTGTTTATATATATTAATAAAATATGAAGAAAAAAAAGTAAAACTCATACTGTACATACTTCAAATTTATAAAAACAAAATATGAAAATTACACAGTAAACTACAAGTAACCTGTGATGTCACCGATGTGATGACAATTGGCCAAGGAGAAGATAGTTAAGAAGCGCAGGAGCTAGGAGCCTACTAGGTAAATATACCCAGCTCTGAGCTCTCTAAAAGTAAATAGTAGTACTTCTCTGAGAGAGAGAGAAGAGGATAATATTTATAAAAATAATTTCTATATCAGCCTCCTCTCTTGTTCGCTATCATAGCCTTCCGACAATAAATCAGACATTGCTATGCATGCATAATTATGTATACATGTGTAGAACTCGTTTTATATACAGATTTCCGAGTATTGAAATAAAGGAGGGCGGGGGGACGGGACTACTGAGATGGGGGGTTTTTGAGTGTTTATATATACACTCCACACTGAAAGGTAAGCTTAAAGCTGCACGCTCACACAGGGTTATTGTATGTACGACCTCCAGTTTCTATTTCTAATAGGTAGAAGTAGTAATGGAGGGGGCCTTGGCACGATGAATGGCTTTCTGCCCTTTATATATAAATAAATTTATATATGTATACACTTCTTTGAAGGTCAGAGATTACTTTTGAGGTCTCAGCGGCTCAGCATTCAGTGCTTAAGGATTCGTATTTGGGTTCCCATGCCAGCAACGCACTTGTTGATGAAAGGTAATGGTCCAAGTCTCCTGGTTCCTCCACCTCGACATTTGTATGTATATAAAATAGCATTTTATTCTACAAGCCCTGTCACTCCTTAGATTCGCCGATTAGGCTAGCGGAAACGGAATCCGTTCGTATATTTTTTTGACGTCAAACTGGTATTGTTCGAGGCCGAACGGATCATAAACATAGCCTTCTAAATTAGACATAAAATGAATTTTACATCAAAATAATAAATATATGTAGAATAGTTCCCTTGCAACACTTTGACTTGTACACCCATCATCGCATATGCCAAGGGCACTGGCAACGATGCCTTCTCTTATACTATGGCGCGGTAGATAGATTGACTATGGCACAAACCACATAGCTCAGCAATCTTCAGTGTGCGACACTTGTTTAGTTGTACCTATTTCACATCATACTCGAATCGGATGGTATAATTCCTACCATATGCACAAATGTAGTTCAAGGGCACCGCCAGAAGGTAGTTTGACCTCTTTTAATAGCACTCCAGATAGGGTTGTGTGAATCTCAGTAAAACATCGTTGATCCACATTTCCTGTGTATCTTCCAAGTAGTCGTTTAACCAGACTTTACTAGACTCTCAATAGTTTTGGCCACCTCATCGGCACTCATACCGCTCAAATTCTCTTTCTTCTCAACGCCAAATCCTAGTGTTCAGAGGGACAAGACATTGGTGAGTCAATGAATTGATATAAATATGGTCAGAATTCGAAATACAATTCATACATCTGTACACAGTGGAAGTCGGAGTACATGTCACAATATCAACCGAATAGTATCCGTGCACAATTGCGATGTAAAACTATCAAGAAGTTTCAACAACATCTTAATATATATATATATAAATAAATAAATATAAACATATATATATATATATGTATACATACATACATAAATACATACATATAAATATAAATATACATAAATATACATACATACATACATACATAACATACATACATACATACATACATATAGACACACTATATATATCTATCATATATATATATATTCATATATATGCACCAACACATGACACCCACCCAGATATATACATACATACACACATATATATACACATACATACAAACACACACACACACAAACACTCACACACTCACACACACATATATATATATCATCATTAAATATCATCCATTGCTATATGTACAAGTGAAGCTTCAAATTACCGTAGCGTGCGAAGACCTTTGGATCGATGGCACTCGTTTCTCTGACCAAGATGGGGAAGTTTGGGTTTGCTTTTTTGATTGCAACGTAGTCTCTTTCGATGAATTCTCTGCGAGTATTGACAGAGTATTGTATCAGAACAGTGATAGAGAGCTAGTGACAACGCGGGAAGTTTAAATGAGATTTAGCAATGTGGAAAAGACAAGCTTATGCGCTAATTGGACACGCCATCCAGGTCCATATCCGGAGAGCCATTAAAAGAGATTACGGTTGACAATGACCAAAATTTGCATGGTCCTGGCAAATGTGTCAAGCTCATGGTTCACGACTAGAAACGCTCAACGACATATATAATTGACTTAATATATATGTTCGAATAGGAACTGAAAGAAACAGAAAAAGACCCTCACGTTCGAACAAAAAGAAACATAAAAGCAAAACATAAATACAAATAGATACAAATAAAAACAAAAAAGACGTCATACACACCGACACACATATACAAACACAAACAAGTAGATACATACATACATATGTACATACGTACGTACATATAGACACATAGGCACACACAAACACATACATCCATATATATATATCCAGACACAGAAACAAAAGACACACACACATATATATATATATATAAACACATATATATATTTATATGCATACATAAATACATACATACATACATGAATACAAACAAACAAACACACACAAACACACATATATATATATATACAGACACACAGACACAGACTAAGAGACATCTATATATATATATATACAGCCACACAAACACACAGGCACAGAGACATCTATATATACATATATACAGCCACACAAACACACAGGCACAGAGACATCTATATATACATATATACATATATAAATGTTTATATATATATATATATATATGTTTGTGTCTGTGTATTTGTGCGTCTGTATATATATATATACATACATATAAATTTACGAATACAATCGTACATACACAGGCACACACAGACGGACACAGACACAGATATATATATATATACAGGAGTACTAAAAAATATTTGCATACATCTATATTTATATAATCTATACATTTAAACATACATGCGTACACAAACAAATATATACATACATGAATATATCCACACACAAACACACTTAGACTTTCACATTCACACATTTACCATACCCTAAACAATACATACATACAAATTATAATATATACATAAATATATACATATATATATAAATATATAGATAGATCTATAGATATATGTATATCTATTTATATATCTATTAACATATAAGCATATATATATATATTTTTTACAAATACAAATATATATATATATATATATACATATACATGTATATATATATATATATATACATATACATGTATATACATAATACATATATATATATACTAATATATATATTACTTTANATC